CCACTTTTTAAATATTGAAGAAATAATATATCATTAAATAGTTAATTAGAAGGAAAAAATGAAGAAAGAATATGAAATAATTAGATTAATTAATTGATAATAAAAACAAAAGTTAAAAATAAAATGATGAGTTAAATTAACAAAGAAAGAACAAAAAAAAAAGCAAGCACAATAAAAAGGAAAAGAAAAGAGAGCTTTATTGTTTTAAATTATTTTTTATAATTCAAAATATCACAATCCAAAACAAATAAACTGTTTTTACGAAAGGTTAAGTGTCAAATTTGAGAGATTAATGCAATTTGCTAAACCAGAACCTAAGCCTGATGCACCTTCATCACCAATTAGATTGCGCCTTTTTAAATATTGAAGAAATAATATATCATTTAATAGTTAATTATAAGGAAAAAATGAAGAAAGAATATGAAATAATTAGATTAATTAATTGATAATAAAAGCAAAAGTTAAAAATAAAATGATGAGTTAAATTAACAAAGAAAGAAAAAAAAAAAAGCAAGCACAATAAAAAGGAAAAGAAAAGAGAGCTTTATTGTTTTAAATTATTTTTTATAATTCAAAATATCACAATCCAAAACAAATAAACTGTTTTTACGAAAGGTTAAGTGTCAAATTTGAGAGATTAATGCAATTTGCTAAACCAGAACATGTTGTGAGATGTTGTAAGATGTTGTGAGATAGGTGTAGATATAGCCTCCCCCCCTTATAATTTTAAGATTAATTTGGATTAAACAAATAAATAACAATTATTCAAATTCTAGAACTGTTATAACATCTTACTTAAAATAAAATAAAAATAAAAATATTAATAATTAAATTTAAATTTTAAGTTGTATTCTGAGTGCATTTATATGTGCGAGTATTTCTATTCTATTCTATCACCAATTTGATTGCCCCTTTTTAAATATTGAAGAAATAATATATCATTAAATAGTTAATTAGAAGGAATAAATGAAGAAATAATATGAAATAATTAGATTAATTAATTGATAATAAAAACAAAAGTTAAAAATAAAATGATGAGTTAAATTAACAAAGAAAGAACAAAAAAAAAGCAAGCACAATAAAAAGGAAAAGAAAAGAGAGCTTTATTGTTTTAAATTAGTTTTTATAATTCAAAATATCACAATCCAAAACAAATAAACTGTTTTTACTAAAGGTTAAGTGTCAAATTTGAGAGATTAATGCAATTTGCTAAACCAGAACCTAAGCCTGATGCACCTTTATCACCAATTTAATTATGACTTTTTAAATATTGAAGAAAAAATATATCATTTAATAGTTAATTAGAAGGAAAAAATGATGAAAGAATATGAAATAATAAGATTAATTAATTGATAATAAAAACAAAAGTTAAAAATAAAATGATGTGTTAAATTAACAAAGAAAGAACAAAAAAAAAGCAAGCACAATAAAAAGGAAAAGAAAAGAGAGCTTTATTGTTTTAAATTAGTTTTTATAATTCAAAATATCACAATCCAAAACAAATAAACTCTTTTTACGAAAGGTTAAGTGTCAAATTTGAGAGATTAATGCAATTTGCTAAACCAGAACCTAAGCCTGATGCACCTTCATCACCAATTTGATTGCGACTTTTTAAATATTGAAGAAATAATATATCATTTAATAGTTAATTATAAGGAAAAAATGAAGAAAGAATATGAAATAATTAGATTAATTAATTGATAATAAAAGCAAAAGTTAAAAATAAAATGATGAGTTAAATTAACAAAGAAAGAACAAAAAAAAAGC